ATTAAAGGCGTCTTGTACATACCAGTTGCGTTGCTTCTGGGAGTATGGGTTCGAGTCACTTTTTCGGTCATATTTAATAAGTCTACAGGAAAGACTGCTACCAAAATATACTAATATATATATATATATATATATATATATATATATATATATATATATATATATATATATATATATATATATATATATATATCTCATATAGCATGATCTCATTATCCAGCATGAAGTTGGGAACATTATCCAGCATGAAGTTGGGAACATTATCCAGCATGAAGTTGGGAACATTATCCAGCATGAAGTTGGGAACATTATCCAGCATGAAGTTGGGAACATTATCCAGCATGAAGTTGAGAACATTATCCAGCATGAAGTTGGGAACATTATCCAGCATGAAGTTGGGAACATTATCCAGCATGAAGTTGGGAACATTATCCAGCATGAAGTTGGGAACATTATCCAGCATGAAGTTGGGAACATTATCCAGCATGAAGTTGGGAACATTATCCAGCATGAAGTTGGGAACATTATCCAGCATGAAGTTGGGAACATTATCCAGCATTAAGTTGGGAACATTATCCAGCATGAAGTTGGGAACATTATCCAGCATGAAGTTGGGAACATTATCCAGCATGAAGTTCGGAACATTATCCAGCATGCAGCAGAATACATCATCAAGCATGAAGCAGAGAATAATATTCAGTATGGAGCAATGAATATTTCCCAGCATGCATGAGTGAACAGCATTCAGTGTGCAAAAAGTGAACACCCTCTTATGTGCAGAAAGTGAACACCCTCTTATGTGCAGAAAGTGAACACCCTCTTATGTGCAGAAAGTGAACACCCTCTTATGTGCAGAAAGTGAACACTGTCCATTATTAGGGTCAGGGTCCCGGGTCAGGAGTCTCAGATCACAAGTCCCAGGTCAGGAGTCAAGGGTCAAGGGTCCGGGGTCAGAGTCCTGGGTAAGGGTAGTGTTAGGGTTCCGGTAGTACTGTACCATACAGTCGGGTTCGTTCTCAGACTCACAATCGAGAATTCCGGATTCCAATCCCAGGCAGGACAGAAATGGTAGGGTGCATTTTATATCACCTAATGCCCCAGTTCACCTAGCAGTAAATAGGTACCCAGGAGTTAGTCACCATGTTGTGGGATTACATCCTGGGGCCGGCTAGTAATTTGAGCCTGAAGGGGGTCGAGGGAGGGACCTTGATAAAAGCCTAACATAAACTGGCTACCTGTCCCCGACACAATGAATTATTAATTATAAAATTACATTGCATGCTACATGGAATACTGTCCAATGCGCAGTAGCAAATACTGTACCATCAAGCGGTTTGTCTTATTACCCAAATCTACCCAAATCTTCCTAGCATTAATAATGTTGAACATAAAAATAACATTAAAGGAAACATATTTTTACTCTGAAATAATAAAAGTTTTATAACAAAATTGGGTCCATCTAATTACCCAAAGCCACAACACTGTTTCTTGGATCGTCGACTTCCTGTGGCATCACCTGCCACTTAGTTTCGTCTAATTTCGCTATAAAATTATGTCATTTCAGAGTAAAAATATGTCTTTTCATATTCTACATTCAGCACCAACATTATATTGAGTAAAATTATCATATTTCTTCATTACTTGTATAATAGTAGGAAGCCTTGGGTAGCTTTAGGTATTTAGATAGACCCCCATCGAGTATGTACTAGTGAAATCTATCTAGTGTGCATCAGCAAATATCATCCAACATACAGGAGTGAACAACCTCTAAGATGCAGCAATTGATACCACTCAACATGCAAAAGTGAATATAATGCAGCAGTAAACACCATCCATCATGCAGCTGTGAACTTCATCCAACATGCAGCAATGAACCTTGTTGAAGCATCCATTACCACCACCCAATGTATAGTAGTGAACACCATAGAATGTCCAACAATGAACACTATCAAACATACAAAACTGAGCATTGTCAACTTGCAAACCTGAACACTGCCCAACACACCAAACTGAACACTGTCTAAAATACAAAACTGAACCCTATTCAATATACAATATTGAACACCATCCAGTGAACAAAACTAAACTTTATCCAACATGCAGAACTGAACACTGTCCAGCATGAAATATGTGTGAACACACACTACTAAATAAGCATTATTGTCAAGTACACTATACGCTGCTCATAACTTGCACAAAATGTATTGGTATAGACAATAGTTCACATTGGTAACTGCTGTTTTTATGTTTTGTGAGATTTTATTAACTTCACAAAACTTCCCAATTTCATAGTGAATTGAAATTATTCTGAGAGTATCATTCCCCCATTTTTTTTTTACACTGTTACCCCATATTTTTACATCATTACCCCATTTTTCACTTTTATGGCTGCCCGAAACGCTTTGCGTAATAGTGGCTTTAGGCATTGTATGTACCAGCTCTATCTATAAACCTAGCAAGTTTTGTAAAAATCTCTTGTATGTATGTACCTTACCTAAATAAACATTTATTTATTTATTATTTATTTATTAGAAGCTGAAGATATTCAAAATGACACAGTCTCCCTCCATTTATTTACCATTGCCTACCTTTAGCACTCAAGAGCACCACCATGTATTTTGTTTTCTTCACTATTACCCCATATTTTTACATGGTGGTAAGTGCAATACATACCATTGCACTTACACCACTGCACCCACACCCCACAGTATATAAATATATATAAATACATATCAAATATTCATCACCCCTTTTAACGAACTTGACATGTCTGCCCACTTATTTCTTAGCCTTCCACCCTGGAACTCACTGAAACACACTTCTCAACTATCCATCATCATCCACTTACTCAACCAGACTGAGCCATATAGGTACACTTTCCAAAATTTCACACTCATCTCTGTGACATTTTTATTTTCTATCCTTCTTACACTATACTGTACATGTTTCCGATATTGCCCAGTTATAACATTTGATTTTGCAAGGTTCATATCCCATCAGTACTTCACATGCATGGTATTCATAAAGGAAGGTACATTACTCTCAGTTTTTCATTCAGCCCTTTGAGTACATATCTTCCTAGTTTCATCGGAACAACTCACACTGGTCTGTAGAGTGATGCCCTCACTTCTTGCAGGGTCAGCGTTTATTCCCTGATGATCCAAGTGATTGAACACTACGTCACTGTATTCGTTATATATGCTTTAGAATCGTATTGGCCTACTGTTTTCTCCTAATAGCTACCTTCCTTCCTGACGAGTTTGATTTTCCTAACTTAGGTTTTCAATGCACAAGCTGCCTTTCAACCCTGAGTTAATTTACTCTCAACTGCACTTGTGCAAATTATTCTTTTGTCAATCAAAGAGTGTCACTGCCTAAGTCACATCCAAAATCAATGACAAAACAGCCAGAGTTTGGCTAAGGGAGACTATTAATCTTAATTTCACATACATATTTTCCCTTTCTATCCACTCCTCTACTTAAGTTCTGTCCACACTCACTCACTCACTCTTGGTAAGTAAACAACAAAAGGAAGCACTAAGCGCAGTAAGCTATATAGTACACACACATTTAACACTTTCTTTCAAAAATATCAATAAAAGCACTTTGACAAGTCATAATTAGGGGGTTGCATTCTCGCTAAGAACACTTTACCTAACCTTCATAACTTGCTTGGGATAAAACTTCCAAGTCAGCTTTCAGCCAGAAAACACTTAATAATGGTGTTCCTAAACTTAAATTTGACTTTTTTCTTGGTTTACATAATGAGTAATTATTAAGACACTGGCATGAACTCAGCCAACACTTGATCAATGTGTTGCTATTTTTTTTTTCCAACATAATACAACTCGCAAGCACTTTTGCAATAGCCAACACCAAGCTGCACATTTATAACATAACACCGGAGAGGTGTGACCAATCACTTCACTATTTCATGCCACAACAAGGTTCGATGCTGTGGAACATTAACAACACCTGAAGTAATTTTAACTTCTCATCTGAATGAATCCTTAACTAAAGTAAGGTTTCCATATAATATTTCAGCACCATTATTAATAATATTAAGAAAGAGAAGAGTTTCGATCTTTTCCCCAAAATCGTGTCCAGGGAGTTCTTCTATTCCCCCGATCCTGGTCTCGGGTTTTGATTGACTTGAGATAATACGCCATATATCAGAATGAAGATCATGCAGGGCTTTATTACATCTCTTGCACCATCCTCGAGGACGTGTACGTGACGTGTTATGGCCAAGGAATAAAGAATTCGCGCCAAGGAATAAAGCAGCTAATCAATACGCCTTCTCAACTCAATGTCGAACGAGCTTTATACCGCCATTAGGCTACTTAATACGAGTGGGTGACTAACGGCAGTAGCCAATGAAAATATAAACATGAAATAAATGTGTATTCCGTCTTATTATTACAAACCATTGGCAATACATAAGAAAGCTGCTTCAATGAAGTCTCTGCCCATCATCAACTTCTTGAACCCTGTGGCACTGTCACTGGCCAAGTCACATTCAAAATTAATGCCACGAGTGCCAGAGTTGGGCTGACAAGTCTGCTTAACATATATATCCAGTGCCACAGGAGACACCAGTGCCACAGAAGATACCAGTGCCACTGGAGACACCAGTGCCAGAGGAGACACCAGCACACACCAGTGCCACAGGAGACACCAGTGCCACAGGAGACACCAGTGCCACAGGAGACACCAGCACACACCAGTGCCACAGACGAGCCACACAACCCCCCGCCCTGCCCCCAGCTCTCCACCAGCCCGTGGCACTGTCAGTATCACCCAATGGGCCTCGCCCGGTGCCAGAGGCGACCCGCTGCCTAACGGCCCCGGTTTACCCCAGACCAGAGCTGACCACTAAGAGGCGGGCCGCCACGATGATAGACAGGGCCAGACGCCATACAATAGCATCAACATTCACCTCCTCCCCCTCTCCTCGCCATATATATTTCCCCCCCCCCTGGCACTGCCTCGCCACTCACCCCGCCTGTGCCACGCTCGTCCCTGGCCCGTGCACGATTTTTCTCACTCGCCCGACGTCAGCTATGGGGTCTTCTCGCGGCCAAATGGGCATAAATTGAGAGTTCAACGCTCGCTTCGTGTATTAAACAGCTGATTCAATGTAAATACAAATCTGCTAGATAATCAAAAATAAATTGACATATGCTCGCTAGTCGCGAAAAATTCTTGGGGGATCGGCCAAGGGTGGATAACCGATGTGCATTTCTCAACTGCGCCCCGGGAGATACTGGCATTAATACAAAATCAAAATGAAGGAATATATATTAAATGCCATACGTTTTCTGTGACTATAATGTGGAGGAAAAAGGAACGACCTTCTTTTTTTTTTCCTTTCCCCTTGACGGGGGGGACTCAACCATTCCCCTCCTTCCCTCGCACCCCTTACATATACATTTTCCCCTTTCCTCCTATACATCCTCCCATATCTTCTCATTTTGAGCGCTGGTGCCATTAATAAACGCGGCCTACACTACGCCGGTATCTTCAAAATACCTAAAATACAGTTTTTTCTTGTGCTAAGAAAGCGAGGTGGAGCGCAGCTAAGGCTCGTTACATTTAAATTTCAAATGACAATTACGAACGGCCATCACTCGCATTGATTTATTTCTTGATGTGGTGTAAGAGGGGAAGTTAGCGTCGTCATGACAACTTTAATGTGTTTCTATACTTATATAATTATTTTTATTTCTATGACAACTAAGCGTATATATATATATATATATATATATATATATATATATATATATATATATATATATATATATATATATATATATATATATATATATATATATATATATATAATATATAAATATAATATATATATATATATATATATATAATATATAAATATATAAATATATATAAACTATATAAATATAAATATATATATATATATGTCGTACCTAGTAGCCAGAACTCACTTCTCAGCCTACTATGCAAGGCCCGATTTGCCTAATAAGCCAAATTTTTCATGAATTAATGTTTTTTCGTCTACCTAACCTACCTAACCTAAGCGTTTTTTGGTGTCTTTCTCATGAACCTAACCTAGCTTTTTTTGGCTACCTAACCTAACCTTACCTATATATATAGGTTAGGTTAGGTTAGGTAGGGTTGGTTAGGTTCGGTCATATATCTACGTTAATTTTAACTCCAATAAAAAAAAATTGACCTCATACATAGTGAAAAGGGTAGCTTTATCATTTCATAAGAAAAAAATTATAGTAAATATATTAATTCAGGAAAACTTGGCTTATTAGGCAAATCGGGCCTTGAATAGTAGGCTGAGAAGTGAGTTCTGGCTACTAGGTACGACATATATATAATATATATATATATATATATATATATATATATATATATAAATATCGCTATATATTTATACTACGTATAAATACGTATACGTATATATATATAAATATCTCTTTGATATCCCCAGGGTCAAACTTAATCTGTGTAAACACTCTATGCAAATTAAGGGACCTAGTCTATGGAACTCACTCCCTAGTGAATTGAAAAACTAAAACTTTTGCCTTATTTAAAAGCAAAACCAAAAAGTACCTAACTTCATCTATTTAGTTTCCTACACTGAGCTTTAAATTTGCTCTGTACCTAGTGTTACCCAATCTCCTAATTTTTATGTAATATCAAACAACCTTATCATTGTGTTCATAATAATAATAATAATAATAATAATAATTTTTATTTAGGCAAAGGTACATACATAAAGAGATTTTACAAAGTTTGTTGACTTTATAGATAAGAGCTAGTACATACAATGCCTAAAGCCACTATTACGCAAAGCGTTTCGGGCAGGAAAAAACACTACTGACTAAAGCTTAAAACTAATGGGTAAAAAGAAAAAAATGCGTTGAGTACAAATAAAAATAGAGGTAAAAGAGGGGGGAACATTGTTGAAAAAACAGCACAAATACAATTACAAATTATTACAGAAAATTACATTAAAACAGCGTTGATTTGTAAAATTTGTCATTGCTGTCTTCTTTTATGTGCTAGCCATATGCTGTATTGTGACTACCAATTTTTGTCAACTACCATTCAAGCTGTCATTGCAATCAATCTTATATTGTTTCTGCTGTATTGTGCCTACCAATTTGTTGTCAACTACCATTTTAAGCTGTCATTGCAATCAATCATAGCTACCTATGTGCTTTAATATACTGTACCTATAATTTTCTCTCATTTTTTTTTCATTCCATGTAATCTGTTATCATTTTTTTGTCTATAAATTTTGCAAGTATTTACCTCCTTAAAATTTTCTTAGATTAAGGACCTGCCCGAAACGCTGCGCGTGCTAGTGGCTTTACAAGACTGTAATTACCATATTTGTATCCTCACAATCCTTATGTACATTCTTGTATATGCATAAATAAATAAATAAATAAATATATATATATATATATATATATATATATATATATATATATATATATATATATATATATATATATATATATAAACACGTGATTAAGAATGTGACAATGTCAGACCACGGAGGAAAATGAAACAGGAATTTCCTTAAGTACTTTCGTATATTAAATACATCTTCAGAAGGAATGAATAGATTCCTTCTGAAGATGTATTTAATATACGAAAGTACTTAAGGAAATTCCTGTTTCATTTTCCTCCGTGGTCTGACATTGTCACATTCTTAATCACGTGTTTATTTTTGTATATATACACACACACACATATATATATATATATATATATATATATATATATATATATATATATATATATATTATGGATTTATATCCATAAATCGTCCGATATATATCGTATATCCGTCGTCGTATAAATATATATACATGTAATTTTATGGTTTAACCAGATATGTATGTATTATATATGTGAGTTTACTTTGCGTAAACGTAATCCATATATGAGTTTAATATATGTATATGTCACCTGCAGATGATTACGTATTCCATTTATACAGGTTTACTAAACGTTCACATGTTCCATGTAATATTTTACATTGGGAAGCAAGTTAGTTTTAATTAGTTCATTTATTCTGGACGTACTCAGCCTGTGAGTGATTGTAGCTAATGATACATAGATGTTGTGTCCATCATACACTCACTAAAAACCAAAGCTGGGAACATTTGTATATCATCGATGGTATACAAAAGTGCCTGCCATGCCCTTGCACCACCCATAGCATTGCTGTTCAATATATCCCTAGAGTGTCATACCTTCCCTGATATCCTTAAAAAAGCAAGAGTAACGCCAGTTCATAAAGGAGGTAACACGGCAGACATAAATAATTACAGGCCCATATCAAATCTACCTATTTATTTATTTATTTTATTTATTTATATACAAGAAGGTACATTGGGGTTGTGAGAATACATAGCATAGTATTTATAATCTTGTAAAGCCACTAGTACGCGCAGCGTTTCGGGCAGGTCCTTAATCTAACAGATAATTTTAAGTAGGTAAATTCTAGCAGAATTAATAAATTGATAACAGATACATTGCAAGAAAAAAATGAGATGAGAGAGATTAGTAAGTATATTAAAGCACATTGGTATATTAAAGCTCTGATTGATTACATATAATGGTGGTACTATATTATCAAAAATATTTGAAAAAAAATTATTTGCAAACAGCTCTATTTCTGTCTCGTAAAATTCAATATACTAAGTCCCTATCAGTTTGGCTTCCGCTCCCAAAAGAGTACCAATGATGCAATTGTTAGTCTGCTTGACTTAATCTACTCAGCCCTTGACAAAAGTGAGTTTCCGATTGGACTCTTCATTGACCTGAGAAAGACCTTTGATACTGTTAACCATAGCTACCTCTTACTTAAACTCCACCATTATAGAAGCCGAGGCCTTATCCTGAACTATATCCGATCCTATCTTAGTGACAGACATCAATATGTAGCCATAGCCATCAATGATATAACCTCTCCCACTCTACCACTAACTATAGGGGTGTCACAGAGCAGCATCCTAGGACCTCTCCTATTTCTTATATACATCAATGATCTGTCTAATGTCTCTAACATGCTTAAACTTATATGGTTTGCTGATGATACTACCCTCATCTACTCTGACCCAACCCACTCTTATTAAATAATGTTGTAAATAATGAATTTAAAAAGTCCACTTGTGGCTGTCAACCAACAAACTCACGCTAAACATAGAAAAGACCTGCTACATCTTATTTGGAAGCAAATCAACAAATGCAATTCAGCTTCAGATAGATAATGTAAACATTAGCAATAAAAATGATGGAAAGTTCCTTGGCCTGTACTTAGACAAGAGACTCAACTTCAGCACCCACGTACAACACATAACTATAAAGGTTTCTAAAACAGTTGGTATACTCTCTATGATCAGATATTATGTACCTTACTCTGCTCTCCTCTCACTCTATTATGCACTTATCTATCCCTATCTTACTTATGGTATCTGTGTATGGGGTTCAACCTCTGCAAACTACCTCAAGCCCATCATCACCCAGCAAAAATCTGCTATCAGGACAATAACAAACTCTGCTTTCAGACAACACACAGCTCCCCTGCTTAAATCCCTAAACATGCTAAACATAAATTCACTCCATACATTCTCATGTGTCAGGTTATCTTGAGGTTATCTTGAGATGATTTCGGGGCTTTAGTGTCCCCGCGGCCCGGTCCTCGACCAGGCCTCCACCCCCAGGAAGCAGCCCGTGACAGCTGACTAACTCCCAGGTACCTATTTACTGCTAGGTAACAGGGGCATTCAGGGTGAAAGAAACTTTGCCCATTTGTTTCCGCCTCGTGCGGGAATCGAACCCGCGCCACAGAATTACGAGTCCTGCGCGCTATCCACCAGGCTACCAGGCCCCCTCCAATTACATTTATAAAACCCTTTTCTTAAGTGCAAACCCCTGTTCTGAAACTCTTCCTGGACAGATGTAATAGAACACATACTCACCACACCAGACATAAACATCTCTTTGATATCCCAGAGTCAAACTTAATCTGTGTAAAAACTTTATGCAAATAAAGGGACCTAGTTTATAGAACTCACTCCCTAATGAATTGAAAAGCTGTCCAACTTTTGCCTTATTAAAAAATAAAACCAAAAGGTACCTAATTTCATCTTCATAGTTTCCTACCTAGTGTTTTATCTCGCACTGTATCTAGTGCTACTCAATCCCCCAATAATTGTATAAGCCATGTTACTTTACCATTGTAATCTTAGATATCATCTGATATCATGGTTGTTATTTTGATTACATATTCTACTGCATTATTCCTTGAAATGATCCTCAAATTGTGCTTCAGTAAACCAATGTATAACTCTGAAATGTTATCCTTATATACCTAGTAATCCAGATGGGGAAGAGTAAAAAGAGGGAAGAGACGAGTAAGGATACGGGGTGAAGAGGGGAGAAGGGGGGGATATGAGTGATGGGAGGTAAAAGAGGGGAGATGAAAGGGAGGGGACAGGGGGCCTGTGGGGGAGAGACAAGAGTATCTCCCAGACACAGCTGGGCTCCCCCTTATACTATTATTATATAGAATAATTTTTTGCATAACGTATTGCAGAATTAATGTGCATTATGTTCCCCAAATGAACCTTCTTGTATATATATATAAATAAGTAAATAAAATATATATATATATATATATATATATATATATATATATATATATATATATATATATATATATATATATAAATTAAATTAATAATAAACAGTATATCTACGAAAAAAGGCACCTCGTAGCCTATGGAGCCTCTGTAGCCTATACTCCAATAATTCAACTCTGCGTCTCCTGCCAATTTGATACCTTTGCCACCGTTAGTCCAATGTCTCTCTGCTCTCGTTCTGGCCTCGTGCATCATGTCTCGGAACTCTTGAATATTTTGTGAGCGACGGTGCTGTATATAGCCCTCCAGACTTTGTACCTTTCTCTGATACCTTAAGTCCAGCTTGTTACAGCATTCACCATGTTGTACTTGGAGCAGCTTCAATAGCCTCGCTCTTAACGATATAAGCAGTGGTAGGAGTTAAATTGTAGTAAGTCGTAGTGATAATGATACCAATACAATTAGGTTCATCATCATCAAAAAAGTTGTGAAGGGATCACCTGTGGTGCAAATGTGGGGACCCATAGCCTCGGAGAAGAAAATTTAAGGAGTATTCAGAGAAGACCTTGTGGATTCTCACTGAACACTAATATTTTCTTCTCCTACCACCCCCATTCTTTTGTATATACAAATGTATTTGTTTTATTTAAACTTTGTTACAAAAAGGAGTTACATATAGGGTACAAAAATGATTATCACAAGTCGTCGAGTTCCTCCAGCTCCTCAGATGGTGGGCAGGAACCCTGAATGCAGTGTGCAAAAGCTTGATGTATCCTGTGTTCCTCAACTCATTATGTGACTCGATGAGGTGTCCTCGCTCCCGACAGGATGGGTATGTGGTCCCCTCGCCGCTCGCAGGATGGGTATTGGGTCCCTCACCACTCACATGGTATTGGGTCCAATACCCACAAAAGATGGGTAGTGGGTCCATTACCGCCCACGGGAAAGGTGTGGGTTCTACCACTGCCCACAACATAGGTATGGGCTCCACCACCGCCCCCAGGATGAGTTTGGGGATTTTCAAAAAACATGGAAGCTATTATTGGCCTATAGTCTCCGGCGTCCTGTTCCCATCAAGGGCCACAATAAGGAAGATATTGTGACCATCACGTATAAGTCCTCCCTCAAAGTTCACATTTTATACACTTCACCTGTTTCATGCCATCTGAATCTATCGTGTTCAAAAACCACCTTACACCCAACAGTATAATAACTTCAGAGGGCTAACTAAAATGATTTTGGATGTATAAAATACGTACAAGGAGAGGAGAGAGTAGGAAGAGAGAGCGAGAAGGGGGCGAGTCATCCTTGAGAGTTGGAGGGCAGGTTGACACTACACTGACGCCGGACTAGCTGTCATTCGCCCTGAATAGTGTCACCTTGGAGAAGGAGCTAACCCTTTCCCCGCTGAGATTTCATTTGCAATGACGGAGGCTGCATCAAGGTGATCTGGAAAGGAGGGGGAGGGGGAGAGGAGGGGGGTTAATCAGGGGCATATGCGAGGGGGATGTTGAAATTTTACTGGTAATCTTTTAGTATGTTTTCTTACCTGTGTTTCAACGCTAAGCTACCGGGCCATTTATTTTTCTATCTCTTTGTCTATTATTGCGATTAGTTTTAGTTCAGGCCTGTGATGTACAAACAAGAAAACTTATACGAATTATCAGCGGATAGCAAGACCAAATTCTGTATTATATAAAGATTTCTAATCGAATGACCGCTACAAATAGATTTATACAGCAGTATTCTCTTTTAGTATTGTCTGCCCACAACATACTCACGTTTTCTTTCATTTCGCCAAATATTTTGTAGCACCTCTGAGGCCAATAATAATAATAATAATAATAATAATAATAATTATTAAAATATTTATTTATTTATTTATATACACAAGAGTTCATAAGATATTACACAGTGTAGATCAAGAACTAGCTATAGGTTCAAATATTATTTCCATCTCACAGGATGGTTAGTCATGCATGGAATCAGGGGAGCCAATACCAGCCTCAATACAAAAAACAAATCAACTCTGACTAAAAATCAGATGAGAACATATAATGTAAGGCTCATCTATTAGTCCCAACTAGCAAAATATTTTCTATGAAGCCAATGATAAATTAATTTCACCGTTTCACAAAAGATTAATATACATATACAGTTCATTACTGTTCCACGGAAGGGCACTACGGGATCGCCATAGCCCGTGCTACTTGCAACTTTTGTTCCCAGTAGCTGAATCTTCAACAATATGTTCCACCAACTTTTACTGCAAATGTAATACAACGTATTAAAATATAAAATTATGTAATTTGTTATTAAGTACAATTGCAGTGATATAAAGCTTTTACATAACTCATTACACAGCGTGACAGCTTCAGACGCTTTGCCTTCATCCCAAAAATCTTTATCATTTTATTATATTTGTTGAATTAAGGCCTAAAACCACCACAGGGTCTAAGAGGTACAGGGTCTAAGAGGTACAGGGTCTGAGAGGTACAGGGTCTGAGAGGTACAGAGCCTAAGAGGTACAGGGTCTAAGAGGTACAGGGTCTGAGAGGTACAGGGTCTAAGAGGTACAGGGTCTGAGAGGTACAGGGTCTGAGAGGTACAGGGCCTAAGAGGTACAGGGTCTAAGAGGTACAGGGTCTGAGAGGTACAGGGCCTAAGTGGTACAGGGTCTGAGAGGTACAGGATCTAAGAGGTACAGGGTCTGAGAGGTACAGGGTCTAAGAGGTACAGAGCCTAAGAGGTACAGAACCTAAGAGGTACAGAGCCTAAGAGGTACAGAGCCTAAGAGGTACAGAGCCTAAGAGGTACAGAGCCTAAGAGGTACAGAGTCTGAGAGGTACAGAGCCTAAGAGGTACAGAGCCTAAGAGGTACAGAGCCTAAGAGGTACAGAGCCTAAGAGGTACAGAGCCTAAGAGATACAGAGCCTAAGAGGTACAGAGCCTAAGAGGTACAGAGCCTAAGAGGTACAGAGCCTAAGAGGTACAGAGCCTAAGAGGTACAGAGCCTAAGAGGTACAGAGCCTAAGAGATACAGAGCCTAAGAGGTACAGAGCCTAAGAGGTACAGAGCCTAAGAGATACAGAGCCTAAGAGGTACAGAGCCTAAGAGGTACAGAGCCTAAGAGGTACAGAGCCTAAGAGGTACAGAGCCTAAGAGGTACAGAGCCTAAGAGGTACAGAGCCTAAGAGGTACAGAGTCCGGGGGTTCATCAACCTGGGAAGGGGCCGGCGGATCACGGGTGTTTCAACATAAGCTAAACAAGATTTAATCCGAGTTCCTTTTTTTGTTCAACATAGGAAGTAGACCTTTCTGGGGTGAGCAATGACTTCCATATTGCTTACACCTGCCTTTTCAGACTGGTAACTGACCTCTTCAGACTGGTAACTGACCTTTTCAGACTGGTAACTGACCTTTTCAGACTGGTAACCGGCCATTTCAGACTGGTAACTGACCTCTTCAGACTGGTAACTGACCTTTTCAGACTGGTAACTGACCTTTTCAGACTGGTAACCGGCCATTTCAGACTGGTAACTGACCTTTTCAGACTGGTAACTGACCTTTCCAGACTGGTAACTGACCTTCTCAGACTGGTAACTGACCTTCTCAGACTGGTAACTGACCTTCTCAGACTGGTAACTGACCTTCTCAGACTGGTAACTGACCTTTTCAGACTGGTAACTGACCTTTTCAGACTGGTAACTGACCTTTTCAGACTGGTAACTGACCTTTTCAGACTGGTAACTGACCTTTTCAGACTGGTAACTGACCTTTTCAGACTGGTAACCGGCCATTTCAGGTTGCTAACCGGCCTCTTCAAAGTGTAAAAAGGTCATCCTTATATGACCTTTTCAAGTGTATACCTGCCTCTCCAGACGTACGAAATTTTCAGTGAGTGCATTGACCTTTCGTGGTGTACAATGACCTCCCAGGGTCACAGCCGAAAGGTCCCCGGGTTCGATTCCCGCGGTAGGATACCATTTCCTTTCACCTGATGCCTTCGTTCACCTAGTAGTAAATAGGTACCTATTAGTAAGAATTGTCAAACTAGCCGAATTACTTTAAATATTTAATCTGTCGAAAATTATATATATATATATATATATATATATATATATATATATATATATATATATATATATATATATATATATATATATATATATATATATATATATATATATATATATATATATATATATATATATATATATATATATCATATATATATCATATATATATATATCATATATATATATATGACAATGTCAGACCACGGAGGAAAAATGAAACAGGAAATTTCCTTACTAATAATGTATGCAGTGAAAGGATTCGCCCAAAGAATGTGTTATGTTTACCATATTTCTCTGGGTTTGAGAATATTGTCAAGGCCTTGAAACTTTTTAATATAGATGTAATGTTTAGCTACGAAAACACTGTTGGTAAGCTATTAGTAAGGAACAGCCCTCGTAGTGATAATTGCGTCATTTATAAAATACCTTGTAAGGAATGTAATAAGTTCTATGTCGGGCAAACATCTAAAGATTTAAAATGTAGAATATCGCAACATAAATACTCTGTAAGACATGGCCAATTATCTAATGCTTTGTTTGTGCATTTGTCAGAAAAAGCTCACCAAATTGATTGGGAGAGTGCGTCTTCAATAACAAATTGTAAAAGCACCTATAACAGAAACATAATAGAATCCGCTTTGATACAGATCACCAAAGAAAGTAATTTGAATATTAGCAGTGGTCTATATAACTTAGATCCATTTCTAATAGATCAGCTAAAGGGCGATTTAAGTAGAATCATTGAAAAACATTTGTCTCACTAATTTATTGTATATATTTACCTCTTTATGTTATAATTACCTATGCATTATGCTTGTATGTCTGCTGTATCAGATGGGCCATTGGGCTACATCGGATGGGCCAATTGGGTGCATCTGATGGGCCAATGGGCCTTCTGCGTTGTCCAAGTATTGTACCTCACCTTACTTCACCACTCTCTCCTGCCTATTTATACCCATCACTCGATCTGTAAAATGACCTTCTGAAGATGTATTTAATATACGAAAGTACTTAAGGAAATTTCCTGTTTCATTTTTCCTCCGTGGTCTGACATTGTCACATTCTTAATCACGTGTTTATTTTCGTGATATACACACATATATATATATATATATATATATATATATATATATATATATATATATATATATATATATATATATATATATATATATATATATCATATATATATATATATATATATATATATATGTGTGTGTGTGTGTGTGTGTGTGTGTGTGTGTGTGTGTGTGTGTGTGTGTGTGAGAAAGCTGCATGAACGCGCAAGCCATATATCACTAAGAACTCTTTGACCCGGCCAGGATTCGAACCCATGCCGTCCAGGATCACCCCTAAACGTACACAGTACCGTGAGCCGATCATTGGTGCGGTGGTCATGGTACTGTGTACGTTTAGGGGTGATCCTGGACGGCATGGGTTCGAATCCTGGCCGGGTCAAAGAGTTCTTAGTGATATATAGATATATATATATATATATATATATATATATATATATATATATATATATATATATATATATATATATATATATATATATATATATATATATATATATATATATATATTATATTTATATTTATATTTAGCAAAATTAAGGGAAGGGAACTGTCAGGGGGGGGGGGAAAGCGCCAAGCCATTACGACTATCTAGCACTGGGAAGGGGGTTAGGATACGGATTTGGGATGGGACGGAGGGGAAGGAATGGTGCCCCAACCACTTGGACGGTCGGGGATTGAACGCCGACCTGCAAGAAGCGAGACCGTCGCTCTACCGTCCTACCAAAGTGGTTGGACATACAATTTTAGGGACGGAGCTACACATACGAACGAAGCCACTATTACACAAAGTGTTTCGGGCAAAACATAAAATAATAAGGAACAATTTAATTAATGGTGTGAAGGGGTAAACTCTTAATGGACAGCGCTCGGGGGGTCGTGGTCTTAAGGGCCCGGGTTCGATTCCCGGCGGAGGCGGAAACAAATGGGCAGAGAGAGAACACACACACACACTGCGACTAGGCTATTCATCCATAAGCGTGGTAGATTGGGATCATCACGCCAAAAAAAAAAAAATGGGCAAATGCTGTGGACAACCAAATGGACATTACTAATTCACTAATTAGTCACTAATTACTCAGTTTGAACAAGTTACAGCAGCTAAGGAATGACTTTCAAAATGACATTGCATTAGTGACAGAGTTGTTGTTGTTGTTTTAGATTCAGCTACTTAGAACAAAAAGTAGCACGGGCTATGGTGATCCCGTAGTGGACTTACCTGGCACAGGAGCGGGGCTGTAACTGAGTGACAGAGACCATTCCCTGCTTTATAAGGATTGGCTAAATCTACTACCACTAATACCTATTCATTGAATAGACCATTAAACAACTAAAGCAACAGATACAGAACTATGAACCCAACAAGGCTGCTGTACTTTTGATATACAGCATAACAAGAATATATAGCCTATCATACTCAAAATACTGTAAAGTAATTAATCTATTACATCCGCTATTGGTATCGTTCATTCCAATTAGCGTTATAACTGTCCTTAATGAACTCATAATCTTATCTCCAGATCACCTCAACATTGGCACCAAACGTTTTCCAGTTTATTCTGTTTATTTACGTCGAAAACTGTCAGTATTCGTCGTAGCCGTCACGACTGCAAGGAAAATGACAGGTTGGATAACGAGAACCTTTCACACTTGAGATGCTATACCAATGATAATAGTTTTCAAGACGCTAGAGCTCTCTAGAGTGGAGTACTGCTGCACAATGACAGCCCCTTTCAAAGCTGGAGAAATTGCTGACCTGGAGACCATGCAGAGATCCTTTACTGCTAGAATCCACTCAGTAAAACATCTAAACTATTGGGACCGACTAAAGAGCCTAAATCTGTATTCTCTTGAGCGCAGGCGGGTGAGATACATAATAATTTACACGTGGAAAATAGTAGAAGGGCTGATCCCAAACCTGCACATAGAAATAACATCACGAGACCAGGAGGCATGGCAGGATGTGCAGAATATCCCCGTTGAAAAGCAGAGGTGCAACAGGTACTCTGAGAGAGAACTCTATCAAGATCAGAAGCCCGAGACTGTTCAACACGCTTCCACTACACATAAGGGGCATAACTGGCCGACCCCTCACAGTGTTCAAGAGTGAACTGGATAAGCACCTCCAAATGATACCAGGCTACGAGCAGCAGCGGTCGAGGACCGAGCCGAAGGGACGTTAAGGCCCGAAATCATGGCAAGGCCTCCAGACGGACTACACCACATTGTCAGACACTGTAGCCAGCTGAGGGCATTACTCCCTGTCCATCCAAAGAGAAAGGGGGAAATGATAAGGCCTGAAATATACCCCCCCATGTCTTTCCATAGTAACTTAGAGAGTGCTGACATTCTCACCCCTCCGCTGAGGACATCTACCCCAAAGGAAAACTTTCATAACAGCTTGACACGTGAACATAACCCAGCTAATATTGGAAGAACAATGGCGATTTTATTCAACATTGTCTCGACTACAGCGGCCTCACCTTTTGTTTTATTAATATAGGTAACTGGCCATTTATGCAGCGACCACTGACTACATGAAGGGGGGGTTATAAGCAGCGGGGTCTAACAGCCTGGTTGACCAGATCACTAACTTGGAGGCACCGTCAGAGACCGGGCCGCGGGAACACTGCTCTCCGGAACTACCTCAAGGTTACAGTTAATAAACAGTCAGCAGGGATAACCAACAGTCAAGCGCGAAAAGATAGCAGATAGATAGCAATATAGGCAACAGTCAACAGAGGTAACCAGGAAACAATATAATTTAACAACCAAACTTTTAACTTACCACTACACCCGTCTCCGTGGTGTAGTGGTAAGACACTCGCCTGGCGTTCCGCGAGCGCTATGTCATGGGTTCGTATCCTGGCCGGGGAGGATTTACTGGGCGCAATTCCTTAACTGTAGCCTCTGTTTAATGCAACAGTAAAATGTGTACTTGGATGAAAAAACGATTCTTCGCGGCAGGGGATCGTATTCCAGGGACCATAGGATTAAGGACTTGCCCGAAACGCTACGCGTACTAGTGGCTGTACAAGAATGTAACAACTCTTGTATATATCTCAATATTAACAGGTCATCATTCAACAGGTCGACAACAGTAGCCAGCCGTTAACGGATATGGCCAACCGAGATGACCAGCCGTCAACAGTAGTGGCCAGCCGTCAACGGAAGTGGATAGCTACCAACAGTAAAAAAAATATTCAACAGTTTGCAATTGGTATTGCCAACATTCAACATAGGTAGATCACCGTCAAGAGAACCAGCCAGCACAAGTAGATGAATGTCAAAAGAGGTAGATGAGCGTCAACAGAGGGAGCCAACAGAGACAGGTAACAGACGAGCCAAGAGGAACAAACGGCAAGCTTCAACCCATCTTGCTTGAGCTACGCGACGGGAACATCATCGGTACAATATCCTTCATTCGCTCTCTCAAAGCCTCGCTAATATCCATCATTTCCAAAACTGCAAACAATATATATATAAGCCAAATTCAGTGGTTTTCTCGTAGCCATGACATCAACGACGATATATTCATCAACTGAGCGGTAGCCCTCCTAAAAAAGAAACATAATAATAAGTACATATACGTATATATGTATTATTTAACTTTCCAAACCTGACATGGCCTCACGCCGGTGAAGG